ACCTCAGGGCAAAGGCACATTTATTTTTAAATGAAGAAAACTAGCATTTTGCTGTATTCCAAAGCCATTTTTTTTTTCTATTTTGAGGCACTAGTGTTGGCAATGAAGTCCAAGAGAACATGCATAATCCCTTTCCATTTACGGGACTGAAATGAACAATTATCAGAAGGCTAGGGATCGGGTAGCTCCCTGTGGATGTAGACTGAGCTATAAAGCAGGCTTCCTGCTGTTTGCAGTCACCCTGCCTGTTGGATTTCATCTATAGCAATTAGCTCTGACTGGGCTTTCCTCGGTTCGTGCACCCCTTGGTATTAAGTTCAATCACACTCCTGTCAAATTGTATAATTTTAATTTTAGAATACACGTGCAAGTCAGGGCCTTGACCCTTGACCTCGGGTTCCAGCACTGAATCTCTGCCTTTGGGCTGGTGGGAAGCATCAGTCACGAATAGTTTCCCTGGTGGATGAGCAAGTCTCCCTTTGAAGTCTATTTTGTTTGACATTTAGAGGATTATCCCGTCTGATATTTGCCCTCTTCCCATGGTTGCACATTTAGTGGGTGTTCTTAGGAAAGCCATGTGGGATTTCTGAGTCTGCACCAAATGCCACCTGTCCTAGTGGAGGCTAGGGAGGATGCCTGTGGGAGGAATGTCATGGTTGCTGACAGGATGTCACAGTCATGGGTTATGAACTCTGCAGGCAGAGAACAGGGGAGACAGAATATTCTAGTGCTGTGGAGGGCCAGACCTTCTGTCAGCCGGGATCACAGGAAAGAAGGCAGCCAGTGCGAGGTGAAACACTGGAGAAGCAGAAAGTGAGAGACTGGGAGAGGATGCTGCTCTCCAAGAACGGACAATGAGAGAGAGAGAGAGAGAGAGAGAGAGAGAGAGAGAGAGAGAGAGAGAGAGAGAGGAGGGAAAGGGAGGGAGAGAGCAAAAGCAGTTACACAACAGTTTTGTGAGCACACCACAGCACTTCGCTAGGGCTACCCGTGGGTCTGCTCTTGATGCCCAAGGAAACTTTCAGTTAGGACTCCCGAGGAATCCAACATATTGCATTTCACAGATTTATACATCCAGGGCTTTTACTTCTTACTTCCCCTTACTACTTGGCATAAGTCTTTGAAGTTCTTAATTTAATTTTTGCAGAGTCTAAATCTAAAAGTCTGAATTCTGAGTCCGCTGTCCTGAGGAACTCCTCCAAGGGAGCTGCGTGGAGCAGCAACAGTGGACATGGAGGTGGGAGCCTGAGAGGTGGAGACATTTAGTCACTCGGTTTCCTCAGGTCCCTCTCAACCTCCACCCCCTCCTCTGCAGCTGTTCTTGACGGGGTAGGCATTTCTTAGGAGGTCTCACGGCAGTACGGCAAGGCAAAACCAGGGGCCTTTAGGCTCCATGATTCCAAGATAAAGGGATGATTTTAGCTGTGTGTGAGCAGAGAGGGGGGCAGTTAGTTTTACCGGAGGGATCCCTAGTAAAACACATGGCAAATGTCTGGTGTGCCTTGACAGGGGCTGTTCCCAGAGAATACCGGTATGTGGGTATGAACTGGCTTAGGGAGACCCAGCCAGGGTGTGTTATTGGTTGGGCAGGATGAGGTTGAGATGGAAAAGCATAGAAAGGGGTGGCAGGATTTCTGGATGTTTAGTAAAGATGCTCACTGTGCATCCTAGGATTTGGTCCCTAGGACCACGTTGGAAGAATCGAGGACCAACTCTTGCAAGTTGTCTTTTGACTTCCACCCATGTGCCGCAGCATGTGTTTGCCTGCATCTTCTTTCTCTCTTTTACACACATAAATAACAAATAAATAAAGTCTTCAAGCAGAAGGGGCTGGTGTCTACTCTTTCATGAGGTGCATTTTTCTGCTGTTGCTATTGTCTGTGGATGCCAGCTTCTTCCGTGTTTGCCTATGGACTCAAACCAGCAGCTCTCTGGGAGGCATTCAAACATTTGGCCTCGGATGGAGTCTCTATCGTTGGTTTCTCTGGCTCTCAGGCTGCTGCTTCTTGCCTGGAGTAGTAACCAACTTCTTTGGCGCTTCAGCGTGCAGACAGCTTCTGTGGGACTATCTAGGCTCTAATTGTGTAAGCCAATCAAATAAACCGAGTCAGACAATCCTATTTCCTGCTGGTTTCATTCCTCTGGAGACCCCCGACTCACACAGAAGGCAATTGGACCTGGTGAGAATCCCCAGGCTGTGAGGGGAATCAGATTCCCCACCAGACAAGCTTTTCCTTTTTCAAAGTCACAGCCCAGTCTGTCCAGTCTCCTAGCCACTCCCTTTCTCGGTCTGCGCTAACAATACTTAGTGATGAAGAACTGAAGAGAGCTGGGAGGTGGGATCATTGTGCACCTGCAGTCAAGAGCAATTTCAGCTGGATAACGTGACCCCCTTCAACCCTGTCAGGACGCCCTCCATTTGGTTGCTCTCGGTCCACAGCGGCTGTCCAGCCCTGGCAGCCCTTCATCTCATCATGGATCACAGCTAATAGGGTCTCGGGACTGCAAGCAAGAAGCAGCAGCTTGCTGGCCTGCTAGCTCAGCGTTCATTTATTGGCTATCTTCTGAGGCAACCATTGAATTATACAATGCTAGGGCTGGCGGAGCCCTAATAAATCATCCGCTGACCCCATATTTTACAGGTGTCGGCATTTACACGGAGAGGTTAAGTGCTTGCATAGGGTCCCCCAGAGAGGCTAAGGTCAGAACTCAGGTCCCCGTCAGCCAGTTCACCAGGCGCTCCTCCACACCCTGCTATGGGCAAGGCGAAGATGACAGATCAGTTTATATGGGCATTAAAGTGGAAAGATAGACACACGTTTGCCCTAAATGCTTTAAATTAAACAATAAGCACCCCAGACGGAGAAAAGGCAGGCACCGGGGCAGTGTTTAGAGAGTGAAATTGGAAAGCAAGGTTGTAAACGCTTTCTTCCTAATGGTGATCGTGTTCGGGAAACACAGGAGAACGTTGCAGGAGGGGCTGTGTTTCTTTGCTTTGTGTTACTGTATCATAATACTACAGACTGGGTGTCTTATTAGGAAAATAATTGTATTTCTTGTATTTCCGGCGGTTAAAGACCCCATTTCTGGGGAGGGTTTAGTGTTATGCCCTCCCATAGCAGACGGTGGGAGGCAGGAGCAAGGGCAAGGAGGGCCAGAGGCATTTTCATAACAAAACCACCTTCTTGATCATTGACGTGGTCCCTTGATTATGACATGAGTCCGTCGCTAAGCATCCTGGCTGTCCCCACCTCGCACCACTACCGCTCTGAGAGTGAAGCTGCCAATCATAAACTCTGGGGCCACATTCGCGCCTCAGCAGGGTGGAAGGGACTTGCTATGGATTTTGCTTCCCTAATATATTTATTATTTAATTCTCATTCTTCTCAACACCCAACATCTGGGGTCATCCTTCGTTTTCCCTTGACCTATTCATATCACACCGGAAGCCCAAGTACGGCCAGCTTTTTTACCCAGCTATGGTTGACGCAAGACAACACGGCAAGCTTTGACTCCTCCGGTAAAACTGACTAGACCATCTGGCACTAAATACTGGTATTGGCTCTTCGTAGGAAGGCTGGCCCTGCGCTTGCTGTCTTCAAAATAACATAGGAGAGAAAATGGGGTGATGTTTTGAGAACAAGAGGACAATAACCGCTTTTTTTGTTTTGTTTTGTTTTGTTTTGTTTTGTTTTGCCGTTGTTGGTTTCTTCGCCCCTGATTTCAAGTCAAAACCTCACAAGGTGACAGGACACTGGCTGGCGACTTAGCAGCAACTGATTATCTCTGACTGGTCCTATTTGCAGGTGCCAGTTAGCCAAGCTCCTAACTTCTCCCTGACAGAATGTGGGAATAAATGTATTAGACTTGAGTTCTAAAAATGTACTTGTTATAAGTTATTTGGAAATGAAAGCATTTTCACTTATTTTTCTAGTAACTCACAGAAGCTGCTGCTAACACCTCCGTATGATGTCCGTAACTAATGTGCTACCCCAGGGTCGTCCCCGGGCTGCTTGCCAGCCAGGGAACGTATGGAGGTATCGGAACGTTGGAATGCTCATCATTTTCAGAAGGAATGGCCACGCGGTCAGCGGAGCTGTGAAGCAAGAGAGCCGAACTCTGTGTTTCTTTTCAGTTCCGAGGGCTAGATGATAGGTTTGTGTGAAAGAAATGCCTCATGGGTACATGAAGCCCCTTTGTGGATAGCATGATCATGACCTTGCCCCTCATGGCTATGTGAAATGTGCTTACAAATGGGAAATTTATGCCTGCTTTTTCTTTTGATGATGATCAGCCATATATCTGTAATCTGTTGTAAGGAGGACCCCTTCCATACCTAAACTAAGATTGAGTTATTACTCCAAATTCAGGGGAAAAATGGTTGAGTTCGGAATGTTGCTATGGCCCCTTAAATCTTACCCTTAACAAAATAATTTGACGAATGGGGCCAGTAGTCTCCACGTTCAAGACTGGTGGAGCCCCTCTCTACTGCGGAACTCTCTGTCACCCGGTGGACAGTGTAGCAGCCCACTGTTGTTTGGAGGAAAGAGAACACACAACCTCAAGCTCCGTGGCAGCTGGCGTCTTACCTTCAGGTAAGTGTAGCCAAGGTCGCAGCCCCTCAGACAAATGTTTTCACAGTCAAGGCTAAAAGAGGACTTAGCTTTCATCGTCTAGAGATAGAGAGCCTGGTGGTAGCGTAACTAGGTTATTCGTTACTTGCACCCAACACTCTTGATTCCTACAAATAGTACTCTCTGCATCAACCATAAGTGCAAATGGCGTTTACTCCCAAGCCTGAACCTTTAGCCTTTTCTTCCCTTTGGGAAGGCTCATATTTCTTCAATGGCGGATGGATCGCTTCTGTTGTTGGTTTAGAGAATGTTGTTTGCATTAGAGAAGAGAATGAATGAGAGCTTCCAGACACATTGATATTTGTGGTTGAGGTTAGCTGTGCAGTGCCACCAGCAAGCCGGGCTCAGAGCATTAGCTGCACTTACCCGTACTGAACAACACCCATGAGAGGACCGTCAGGGCCAACGTCAAGAGCCTGGACAACGTCCGCTAAGAACTGCTTCTGGATCTGGAAGCGGCGCTTGCCGATGTTGGCGCTCCCATCAATTAAGAAGGACAAGTCAACTCTGCAGTCTGTGGGATGGAAAAAGATGCTGTGATTCTGTTCGGGTCTGAGGGTTTCTATCGGGGCATCCTCTCTCTCTGTGTTCCCACCTAAGGCTTGCACGGCTCCCTTCTAGGCATCTTGTGGCTTTCGTTCACTACAAGCCCAGAGAATCCACTGAGAAGAAAGTGAAAAGAGGTGCAAACTCCATTTCCCCGAGGACCAGGGTCCTGGATCCCTGGGCTTGTTCTTGTTTCTACACCTGCTTTAAAATTCTACGGCTCAGTCACCACTGTAGACTTCAGAAGACAGTGACACCCAACGTCACTTGGGAAGAGCCTCAAGATGGATTCCCAGGCTCAAACCACAGAAGTGCAAACGCCTAGAAGCCATGGGAAAAAGGCTCAGTGGGTAAGGGTGTTGCTGAGCATGCATGAGGAACTGAGTTGGGATCCCCAGCATCCAAATGAAAAGCTGAATGTGGACTGTGCTGCGTGGGATAGAGCCAGGATGACGCTGGAGCCTGCCAGGCAGCCGTGCTAGGCAAAGCAGCAATCTCTAGGCTCAGTGAGAGACCCTGTCTGCCTGTCTAAGGGAACGAGGTGGAGAACAACAGATCAGGTACATGGCATCATGCACATGGTGAGGGTGCCTGCACATACATGTGTGCTTAACTCCCCATCCCTCACACGCATGCCCACACAAGCAAGGAAGAACAGACTCGTAGATGTGAGAATTTGCCATGACCAAGTGTCAAAAACTTGTGGTCTTTTATTTTCACCCTTTGTCAAAATTTGTGGGGTGTGAAAGAACCCACAAGGCCAGAATGGAAAGGGTGGGAACAGGAATTATAGAATTAGAAATAGATAGAATGTTCCTCACTTCCCTAGGTGAAAGAGTGGAGGAAATTATCCACATACATTTGTAAGACAGTTTTATGACTTTGCTGAATCCCTCCCCATTTCTATTGTGAAAGAGTAGGGTAGATAGATGTTCAGGGATAGAATGTCTGACCTTCTCAAATAAACCAGTGTTCCCTTGTCCCCTGGGGTTGGGGTCTAAGGAACACAGAGTTTGCCTGAATCCCCAGGCACAATAAAACCATATATA